ACATTAATGACCTATTGATGTGCATGATAGATACGTGATGTTCAAATCTACCCCCAACAAGCATTTTAACTGTTAACACCAAAATCTCCAACTTTACTTTATGTCATTTATTTTCTATCATTTACATTTCCGCTTCACAGCAACCACAAACCCTTTCCTACTTAATAAAATAATGCTAAAATGTCTTTAAAAATATAGGTATACGTGGGTATGATAATTGTAAAACTTATCTTTACTACTTATGAAACAACCACCCATATATGTAGATTTAGATGGTGCCACATATTTTGATGCATTTTAGTTTTTATCTAATAATGTATTTAGGTAGTGACATGTTTTTTTTAATATAATGTTGGATTGATATTAATGATGTAAACTGGATACATTTTGATACATTAATTTTTTTCCAGTTTTCTAGCTTTTTGTGTTTCATGACAGGTTATATTTTCATATCTGGTTCTGTATGAACAATTACAAATGAATCTATCTGGAAATGTACTTCCGGACGCACCCCATTTTCTATAAAAAAATACTAAGATGGGTTAATTTGGAACACTAATTTGTGTATACACCATGATTTTACAAACAAAATAGGGTGTATTCCGAAGTACATCTGCATAATATCCTTTGAGACATGATTGAGTTTCTAAGGTCCATATTTATCTAAAATTTGTATAAATATGGGTGTCCGTCATCTTATTAAGTTTTATAAACACACGCATACTGTCTCAATATTCATATCTCGCTTTTGTTTACTTCAACATCGAGAAGTCGCCTATTGAATTTAGGTTTACATAGATCACCCATCTTGTCGACCTAAAATCCACGCTAGATAATCTGTTGCGTTACCCAAACAATCGAAGTATTATGAAGTTTTATTATCGTTCATCCTCAATTGACAACGAATGGAAGATGCAGTTCGATAAGTTTAAGCTAAGACGAATGAAAATTTAACTATCATGTGAATTACATTTCAACGTTACGAAACAAAAGGTCTGATCGAGATGGATACGAATGTTGCGAGATCGAACGAAGATATTGTAAAGATGTTGAAATGTCCTTAACCATCACTTGATGATGAAATATAATGTTAGATTGACGTTAATGATTATCTATGTAATATTACATTTTTAATGTATGTCATAATAATGATTGATGTTAATTTATGTTAGTTTTTTACATCTGTTTCTGATTTGTGAAACACAACAGTTTTTGAAAATACACTTTTAAATTTTTTTTATGTGTATTTTAAATTTTTCACAAGAGTGTGTGAACACCATTAAGGATGTGAAAAATAATCCCCTAAATATTATTTTACAAATAAAATTTATTTTACAATGAATATTTTTTTTCAATTTCAATATAGTTATTATTTTTTCAATAGTACAATAGTCACTACTCTCAAAATTTTCCATTCATATTAATAATTAATTAAAATAACTTATTAATTTTTTATTTTATATATATATATATATATATATATATATATATATATATATATATATATATATATATATATATTTGTGAGAATATAAAGTGGGTCGGCAATAGTGCGGTAATGGCGTGAACGTGAAGGGTAAGGGAAATTCACGACAGCACCCATTAACCCAATAAAGATTCAATGTGTAGGTAAGTAGGGTAGGTTCCCTTTAACTATATTCCAAAACAACACTAGTCCAAACTAGTGAGCAACATACTAACCTAATTATCCACCCATCTCAACTTTTTCACAAACGCACGTTTATTAAAAACAATGTTTAAATAGTTTTAATCTATGGTAAGTATAATGTCTGTATGGTTTAGTAAACTTTTTTTTTTTTTTAAGATTTAGTCTATAAAAATTGATAAACTATTGTTTTTAATCTATAAAGCCATATGATCCAATAAAATGGCAATGCTTGGTTGAATAAACTAACAACAAAGAATTAGAAACAATTACGCATCCGTCTTATAATAGGTGTTTTATTTGATTTTTGTGCGATTTTAAAAAAATAATTAAACGTATTAATTTTAATGATAAAATTAATATTTTTTAACAAAATATCCTTATTTATTATAGTTAGTGGAATAGTTGAAAAACGTGAAAATTAATAAATAAATGTATAGTAGTAGGAAAAATAAATAAATATTGTATTTGTATTTTAAAGAGATATTTATTTTGAAAAGCAGAAAAAGTGCAAATAAAACAATTTTATAAGACGGAGGGAGTAATTTTAAATCTAATTATTGAATCCAAACATCATATATCAGTTAGATGTGGCTACCAAATCTGCAAAATCTTGAAATTATGATCTCAGATATGACTCGCACAACTCAATTTCGTTTATAGATTGCATTTGGTTCAGATGAGTTTGAGTCATTTTCTAACAAGACCCCACTGTTCAGTTCGGTTTGTAATTTGTATTTTGCAAACCAAACAAAATTGAAGCAAATCACATTATGATATGAGATTTTACAAATCATTATTATTTATTTTTTAATTCTTTAGAAAAATCAACAAGTACCATGTGCATATTTTATTATTATATTTTTTGTAAAATATTTATTTTAATTTGCATATCATCATAAATAAAATATTATTTATTTATTAATACTATTATTTTTATTTGAAAAGAAATTACTATATATTTTTATTTGTTTTGCAGTTTTAATTTGTTGACATTTCTGAGTATAAGATTAAAAGAAAAAAAGTTATTCACACTACTTATTTTTATATTCCTTTATATATAAAATATTAATAATAATAATAAAATTATAGTGTGTATAAACACATGCACTTTCTTATAACTACATAATATAGTATTTAAATTTATTTAAAAATACAATTTCATATATATATATATATATATATATATATATATATATATATATATATATATATATATATATATATATATATATATATATATATATATATATATATATATATATATATATATATATATATATATATATATATATTGACCTTTAGATATAGGATAAAAGTGTAAGAAGTAGTTTATATTTATGCATTAAATTTAAAAAAAAAATTATTTTAATATATGTTGTCCTTTAAATATGTATGTATGGTTTAACCAAATCAATCAAATTAACCTAAACCACAATAATTTAATTTGATTGGCTACGGTTTTATTTTTAAAAGTTAACTGAAGCAAATCAAATTATATATATTTTCTCTTTTAATTTAAATAATTTTTTGTGTTAAAACCGTACTACGAACACCTCTACTTAAAATAAATAAATACAATGTTTTTCATCAGTCTTATGGATATTTACCCGCCCAAAACATATTCAATTTAAATGAAAAATTCTAAAATGCATTATATAATTTTATTTTTGTTCTCCCTTCAAATAAAACCCTATAAATAGATAGATATTCTAACTCTTCCATATTATGGAAAAGACATAAACCTTTTTCCTTATATTTAAAACATGTGACATAGCACTTTTTTGAATTACTTTGTCATTTAGAATAAGGTTAACAAAATGACATTTGAAACAATTCGGTGATCATGTGCATGCAGTTAATAATTAATATTTAACAGTAATGTGAGTCATGTGACTTCAGCTTTTTCATGAGTCCTCTCCTAAAAATTATAGTTTTAACCAGAAATTTATTATTGAGTATGTTGACATGTGACTATCAAATGAAGTATCAATGTTTGTCCAAAATTCTAAGTTAGAATTACAACAATTTTAAGTTTATTTTATAGAATTAAATATGTTTTTGATTTTTATAAAAGGATCCTGCGTTTAAGAAGAATTAATATAGCTATGGTCCCACTCATTTAACTTTAAAATAAATAATTATTAAATTTAATAATTAAAATATTAAAATTTTACACGGCTGTCATATTTAAAGCTACTTATTATTATAATATAAGAAGTCTTGTTAACATGAGAGAGTAGTGTATACCACACGTTTCAATTTTAATTAACAATTTATTGTTTTTCATTTCACAATAAAATAGGTGGGACCATAATTAATTTAATGCTCCTTAACCAGTGTCCTAACTTAGAATGTTAACATGAAAGAGTAGTGTATACCACACGTTTCAATTTTAATTAACAATTTATTGTTTTTCATTTCACAATAAAATAGGTGGGACCATAATTAATTTAATACTCCTTAACCAGTTTCCCTTTTAGTTTTTATTGTTAAATCAATCTGTATTTTTGAATGATTATTTTGCAAATATGTTTAAAATGTTATAAAAATTTCTTCGAAAAAAATTCAAAATTTGATTTATAAGTCGAAATTTTAATTACTTTTATCATTATTTTTTAAAATTTAAAAAAAATTATATTTAATTTTTCTTATTTTAAAAAATTATATAATTTGGTAAAGAAACATTTTACATTAATCTGAACACGTATGAAGAAAGTTATTTAAAATTTTAAAAGTTTAGTGGTAATTAAATAGTTTTCAAAATTTTAAAAAATAGCAAAAATTAAAATTATATACATAAATTTTTTGTAGGGACTAAAATATATTTTATTTTATATAGACTAAAAATTAAATATAAAATATTTATAAAGATCAAAAACATATTTAACTCTATTTTCTATGATTTTGAGTATAAATTATGCACAAGCAATAGAAAAAAAAATGGCAGTAGCCATAAATTAAACTCCAATTCAAAACACCCAATCATGAATTTGAAGAAAAAAGTATCAATAACTTATACTCAAAGTTGCATATAAGATTTAAGCCTTGCAAGCATCAAATAGCCATAAATTAAATTTCTTTTTTTTACAAAGATTTATAGAAATTTATATGTCCGAGAATAATTAGGATATCTTGAATTCAAACTTAAATCTCTACGCTGAGATGTTCTTATAATCAGATGTCACTGCATAACTATCAACTGAACTGTCTTAACGAGACAAAAACATTTAATTTTAAGTAACCTTTCTCTATAAATACTAACTTGGCTTAACTCTCCACATATGTACCTCAAACAAATTCCAAAGTGCTTTTCTTAGAATTGAAAACTCACATGATGAAAGTAAGACCTTCTTTCCTTCTTTGTGATTCTATCTTTTTTCCAAGAAACATTCATGTCTTTTACTTGCAAATCTTTCATGCATGTTTAGAATTTCATATTAAATTAAACTTCTACTATTTTTTGTTTTGTTTTGTAGGTAATTAAATTGGTTTATTATGTTCTTCTTTTGGTGACACTGATGAACTCAAAAGTATCTGAGAGCAAAAAAGACAGTATCATAAGCACTTCTTTTGAGTACAATGCTATAAACTGTAGGGCAAAAGGTGTTTCATTGAAGGATTTTGGTGGTGTTGGAGATGGAAAAACTTCAAACACAAAAGCTTTTCAGTCTGCAATAAGTCATTTGAGTAAGTATGATTCTGAAGAAGGGTCTCAGTTGTATGTTCCTGCTGGAAAATGGCTTACTGGAAGCTTTAGTCTTATAAGTCATTTCACACTTTATCTACACAAAGATGCTGTTCTTCTTGCTTCTCAGGTATTTGTTTCACTCATGTTCTTGTTTTTGACTAAGTAACCACAAATTAAAACTCTTGTTAAAAGGTAATTCATTGATTGTAGTGTTTGAACTAATTTTTGTTGTTGCAATTAATTGGACTATTTTACCCTTTTTGGCACTTTCATGTATAATGGTTTAGGATGTCAAAGAGTGGCCTGTAATCAAACCACTCCCATCCTATGGTAGAGGAAGAGATGCAGCAGCTGGAAGGTACACCAGCCTCATTTTTGGAACAAACCTCACTGATGTTATTGTCACAGGTATGGAAAATTGTTCCATCAAACAATGAAGTTGGTGTAACATTTTCAACAAACATGTGCTAATACTTGTGAATTTGTGGATTAACTTTATACAAATGAAATCATGACATTGTGGAAATTGGTAATAGGGGACAATGGCACTATAGATGGTCAAGGTTCATTTTGGTGGCAACAGTTTCATAAGAAACAGCTGAAGTACACTCGTCCTTACTTGATTGAATTAATGTTTTCTGACAACATTCAAATCTCTAATTTAACACTGCTTGATTCTCCATCATGGAATATTCATCCTGTTTATAGCAGGTAATCATGCTCTTAGTCTTAGAACATGTAATGCACCTATGAAATTCTGTTACAATTTTAAGGTTTTATAACAAAAATTTGAACACTGATCACTGATGCAGCAATATTATAATCAAAGGCATAACCATTATTGCTCCTATAAGGTCTCCAAACACCGATGGCATCAACCCAGGTCAGTACCGGTATTGTAACACATCTTGCACACCTTTAAAGACGGTTCTGATTACAATTTGATTTTTCTTTTTGTGTTTTGGCATTAGATTCATGTACGAATACGAAAATCGAAGACTGCTACATAGTTTCTGGAGACGACTGTGTGGCGGTGAAGAGTGGATGGGATGAGTATGGCATAAAATTTGGGTGGCCAACAAAGCAATTAGTGATCAGAAGGTTAACATGCATTTCACCATACAGCGCAACCATTGCCTTGGGAAGCGAAATGTCGGGCGGTATACAAGATGTCAGAGCCGAAGACATCACAGCCATCCGTACCGAATCAGGAATCAGAATCAAGACAGCAGTAGGGAGAGGAGGTTATGTGAAAGACATATATGTCAAGAGAATGAATATGCATACAATGAAATGGGCATTTTGGATAACAGGTAACTATGGTTCACATGCCGATAAAAACTATGACCACAATGCTTTACCTGAGATCAAAAACATCAACTACAGAGACATGGTAGGGGAAGATGTTTCCATGGCTGCTAATTTAGAAGGAATTTCTAATGACCCTTTTACCGGAATATGCATTTCCAATGTGACAATTAGTATGGCTGCTAAGGCCAAGAAACAGCCATGGACATGTAATGATATTGAAGGAGTCACAAGTGGTGTTACTCCTAAGCCTTGTGGTTTGTTACCTGATCAAGGGACAGAGAAAATTACAGATTGTGATTTTCCCTCAGATTATCTACCTATTGATATCTTGGAGCTCAAGAAATGTACTTATAGCATTTAAACAACATCAACATGCATGAAAAGTAATGTATGTCAAAATTATTGACAAAACTATTAATGTTATATTGCTCAAGTTGAGGATTATAAATTATGATTAATGCTTATTATAAGAATCAGAGATGAGATTAAAATGAAAAAATACATTACAACAATCTTAGTATTTCCAATATGTTACATATCTTGTGGAAAGCTGCAACTTTTTGAATACTAACAGAACTCATAAATTAGCCATCAAATACTTTGCTAATCATATGCAAAGAGTAAATACAAAAATCTCAGTGAATTGGTGGATCAGGATTGAACCTCACAGACTCTTTATAGATGAGTTCCTTGATATTTTCTTCGGTGAACATCGGTTCCTCGAAGTCAAAACTGAATGGTCTGACACAAACAGGTTCCTCGTTGATATCATGCAGAGGTGCCATGTATGGATGGCACAACGCCTCGTCAACTGCAAAGCATCGTAATGTCAAAACAAAGAAAAAGAATCTTATTTAACCGATTGAACCATAATCCGGATGTACCATGGGTTCGATCTCGAGTCCAATTGATAAAACACTGCTTTATAACATACGGTAATGTTATTACAGAATGGTCTAAATGGTGAAGGGTTAAAGTTTATGCTATTTTACCTCTAATGCGCTTGCTCGGATCAAACACAAGCATCTTCTCAAGCAAATCAACAGCACCTGGAGACATGTTGGGAAACCTAGTAGCAAAATCTTGTTTTGGATATTGTGGAAGTTGTCTTACGTATCTACGAGCATTTTCGCTGCGCAGGAATCCAAGGCTGGCATCATCAGGTGAACCTATCAGCTTTTAGACAGAAAGAACAATTTGCCACAGCTGAGTCAATTTTGAATTAAAAAAGTGAAGTCGAGAAAAGGATCAAAGAATGAGAGAATACCTCGGTGACCAATCTCAGCTGATGAACATAATCTCTTCCAGGGAATAGGGGTTGTCTTGTTACAATTTCACCGAGTATGCAACCGACAGACCATATATCAATGGCTGCTGTATATTCTGAACAATTAAGAAGCAGTTCGGGAGCTCGGTACCACCGAGTAACCACATACTCAGTCATGAAATCGGTTTCTGATGTAGTCCTAGCGAGACCGAAATCTCCAATCTTAAGGTCACAATTGGCATTCAGTAGCAAATTACTAGGCTTGAGGTCTCGGTGCAACACATTAGCTGAGTGTACGTATTTGAGTCCTCGTAACAGCTGATACACAAAATACTGGAAAAATAGATCCTATTAATTGATGTAAGACATAAATCATACTAGTAAGAATTAAGCTACAGTTTTTTTTACACACTCTCGATAACACTGTTTACGATTGATTCATAATTTGAAAAGTCAATTTAGTTGCTCCATAAATTGATCACATTTGTAAAAATGTGTTGAACTTTGATGTCTAATCCCATAATTTCGCTTCTATCTCAAGTTTGTGCAACAAAAAAACCAAAGGAAAATACATTAATCATGGCATTATCCATAGGACTCAACAGGTAGATTAAAGTTCATAGGCTAAATAAATGGTTAAAGTTCTAACCCGACAATGATCATCTGTCATTGGTTGATTGGAACGTATTATTTGATGCAAATCGGTGTCCATTAACTCAGAAACAATATACACATCATTGAAGTTCTCCCTCTGCGGAGGTCGTATAATATCTTTAATGGACATCACCTGCATCGGAAAAATATTTGATACGTAAACACTAAAAGCCAACATTTTCGCACATTGAACACCAAAAATCCAAGCCTGGAATTTCATTAAGAATTACATTTTCATGATCCATGTGGCGAAGAAGTTTTATTTCCCGTAAGGTCCTTTTAGCATCTATTCTGTTGTCAAAGGCATTGCCAATCTTCTTAATGGCGACTTCCTCACGTGTCTCAGCATTTACAGCAGCACTGAAGGAAATCAAAAAATGCTACCGTCCGTCAAATTGTTGACATAAGAAATCTATGTCACATCACATGGATGATGAGAAAACATCCAAAACCCATAGTATTCAGTTTAATGAGTCTAAAAATACAAATATACCGGAAGATTTACCCATTGTTGACTCGAGAAGAAACATAGAATCACCACTTCCAATTGGATAACAACAAAAATTGAACTAAATGCGAAAGTGTATGTAAGACACTTAGGCTATGTTTGAATTGATGGATTAGAACGGAGCGGAGCGGAATGGAACCTAGTAGAAATATAGTGATATAGTGGTAAGTGATGGAATGGAATGGAATCCATACCACTCCATTCCATCTCATACCGCTCGGTTCCATCTGATATCATCAATCCAAACATAGCCTTAATTTGATGTATTCAAAACACATACTGGGACAATCCAAAACTACCCAAAGTAGAAAAGATTTGGGCTTGTGCTAGATAAATCCAAACAAGCCCTAAAACTTGCTTACTTTGAAATTCAGATAATCCAAAAGTACAAGAAATTAAAAAAAGTACAAAAATAAAAAACCCTCAAAGGGAATTTTTTTGCTTACCAAACAATACCATAAGCACCTCTACCGACAGGACGAATAGGAGGTACATACTTTCTGGAAACCTCAAAGAGGTTACCATAGATATTGTACTGCAAATATCGTCCAGCATGAGTTGGTATTCCTCTGATGTTATTCTCAGCTGATTCAAGAGACATGGCGAGGGTTGTTGAATGAAGGAAAGAGAGGTGACCCAATATAGAAACGATGATTTAGAGTTGGAAATGAGGAAACTTTGCGGTTGGTGCTGACATTTCAACAGAGAGAGAGAAGTGGGGTCTAAGGGTTATTATTGACTTGACTGTGAAAGAGGGTTTGTTTGGTACGGTAGAAGAAGTGGACATGATGGTTTCAACTCGTGAACAAGTTTACTTTTTTCTTCAATGGTCTTGTTTTTAATCAACCTTGGTGTGCTGTCTCTGAATTTTTTTTTCAAATTCATTTTAATATATATATTTTCTTAATTGAACTTTTGGTACTTTATTGAAAATTTTTAGTATGATATTTTTGGATGAGTTAATTGAAATGTAATTATTTATAAAAAAAAATCATTTTGAATCATATTGAATTTTTCATTCTACTGAATCTCATGGAATGAGTTGGATTTAGTGTCGGTTTGTTTGTTTTAACTTCAAAAAAGATTAATTATTTATTTGTATTTCTAAAAATAGATTTTATAAAAATATTTTTTTAAATATTATAAGTTTTCTTTATTTGTTTTTTCTAAACTGAAAGATTAATTTTTCCATCTTATAAGACAAACATATATTATTGAAAATCAAACATTGAAATTGCAATGTCAAAATAATTTTTATGAAAAATTATTTGAAATAATTTTAAAATTAAATAATTTTTTAAAATTTTGATATTAAAAAAAGTTTTAATAAAATAATATAATACCTAAAATAATATTTTAAAAATAATTATTCAAACTAAATATTTATTTAAAGTTTTTAGGAAAAAGAATTTTGTAAATTTTTTTTACACAGAAATATATAATATTATAAAAATCATTTTAAAAAAACAAACAAACCATTAGTTATAAATGATAATTTTGGAGCCTCGTTTTGTTATGGTGTGTTGTTAAGTCCTCTATTGTAAAAAAAAATTAAGATGGTTGGTTATTAAAATGAACTTGGTATTTATGTGCTACTTAAGTATATGTAATTTCTTATTGCACTTTATATATTTCTACGACATAATTAGTCAATAGGTCATTTAACTTTAAGCGAAGTTTCGTTGTCTGAATTAAAGAACGTTATATAGTGGTCCTTTAACTTATTTGTCGTTAAACTATTTGGTCTCTTCCGTTAGTTTGGGTGAAAAACGTTAACTATGGTTGAGGTGGCATGTCAGGTATGCAATTAGTACAGTGAACAATCAGTTGTTGTGTTATAAACGGTATAGGGTTCGTTGTTTCCTATTCTTCATCTTCCTTATTTGTTCTTCACTATTCATCCATCTGCAATTAATTTGTGGCTTCCTATTCTTCCATCTTCTACCATGTTCCTTTTTATTCTCCATCTTCCATCAATGCTATGCAAGCAAATACTTCAATATCAAACAACCAAAACTTTGGCATATATGGATATGTGCTTCAGTTTTGATTATGTGTTTGGGGTAATAATGAATCATGATACTTATGTCTTAGTTATGTATTTCTTTCATGACTTATTGTAAGAAGATTTGTTGCTGCAGAGGATCTTAAAGTGATACGATGAAGCCAGTTCTTCCGAGAAAGGTATAGTGAGCATTTTTACTTCTAAATATGATATTTTAAAATGAAGTTTGTTCTTTTAGAAAATCATTTCTTGATTGGGTTATTCCTTTACAATTTGGGAATACTTGTATTGAAGAAACACTGATTAGGTAAACAATTTAATTAAATAGATTTTTATAAGAAAAAAATAAATTAAGTTACTTTTGTAAAAGTTATAAAAAAATTTAATAGGTTGTTCTTAAAAATAGTGTTTCAAATAAGCTTGTTTGAGAAAATCATAAACACGGTATGCATCATAAGAAATAAGAAGAAAAGAGGTGAAAATGACGTTATAATGATTTAGGGTTTGACAGAAACATTACAAGAGATTCGTCTATGCTGGATGTGATTGACCTTGATGAAATTTGCAAAGATATGTGAATTGAAGCCTTTGAAATTTGTCTTTATGAGAATTGAAATTGAATTCGATCTACTGTGGACTTTTTACTGCACTCACTATATTATTAATCTTTGAATATTGATTGTACGGTTTATAAAAGGTAAATTTATATTTTTAAAACGGTCCCTTAATTATAGTTCTTTTTGTCTAAATAAATTCCACATCAGACATAAATAGTCCAACATAAATTTTTTTAACGTTTTCCTAACAAAAACTAACAGAAATGACAAAATAGTATAACGAGAGTGAAGTTAAAGGATCATTATGTAACGTTTTTTTAGTTAGTGGACCAAAGAGAAACTTCCTATAAAATAAAGATTAAATGATGCATTAAGCCTATTTTTACCTCAATGTGTGAAATTCCACAACTGTCTTCTATTTTTGGAGATACATCTTTGGACGCACCCCATTTTTGAGTAAACGTTGACATATTTCAGAGATATATCTCTGGTACAATTTTAAATTTTAAGCACTCAGAACATGTCACCCATAACCCATTTACATTTGAATTGTTTCAAAGATGCATCTACAGGAATATTTCAAAGATACATCTCCGAAGTATATCAGAACATGTTTTTTTTTATAATGAGCTTTGTATTTGATTTCAGATGAAAAACAGATGTGCAAATTAGTAAAAGACTAATATTGTGTGTTTCAAAAATAATATAACAATACAATAGTAAAATATCGTACAACATGAGATCCAAAATGTAGTAATAATGTCATAAATAAAGAACAAACCATAATACAACATCAAAATAATAACAGACAACTACCGAGTGTGCTTGACAACCTCTCATATACCTCTTCTGCCTCCTCAGCCATCAGCCACCGCCACCATACCACCCTTTATCCTCCGAAAATTTATAGTACACTATTGTGCCCCATGTGCCTCCGCCATAATGGCATTTAAGACTCGCCTGACAACAAACTCCTCAGGAAGGATACTATCGTTAATGCTTACCCGTGCAATCTCCACTATACGACGACAATGAGGCAAGACATCCTCAGTATGGTCTAGCTGAGCATGTTTCTCCTCTAGAATCTATTGATGAGCTGGTCTCGACGGATCTCCTAGAGAAGTCGATAACATGTACGGATGTAAGATCCTAAAGAACCACCTAATGTATCTGTCGACGTAGCTCTAGTCATTTGATGTTATGGTAAATCGAGCCTCCTCTAGTACTAAGGTGACTCTCATAATCAGCAAACATTTCCACTATCTGTCTACGAGACAAGGAAGGAGGAGCAGAGACAGCAGGGGTCTGAGGATGGTCTGGGTGTACTCAGACTACCGCATGACGCATCCGATAGATGAGGAGCAGTGATATGTGATCCACGGGCAACCATCCAGAGTATAAAGATATGTCGTCAAATGGTTGTGTCTGACGGTGATCCACATTGGTGTTGAAGTAGATGTCCCCAATAATCAAGCGGTCAAGATAGACTCTGAAAGGCTTGAATGCTTAGTTCCCTCTTAGTGGGATAAAAGCGCAGGCACGAGACATGTCCTCAGTGTAGTCATCCACACTTACCCAGCCAGCGATATGCGAGAAGTATTAGAGGATCTAAGCTTGAAATGAAAATAAAAGTAAAAAGCATTCAGGGATCAAGAATTATTATCAATTATTTCGCAAATATGAAATGAAAAGGATAAGATGAAAAAACGTTCAAGGATAAAAAATTATTATCACTAGTAGTGTCTCTCAACTGTGAATATAGATAAGCCAAAAAAGTCGCCCCCTAGTTGTACTCATGGATCCGAGTGAGATCCAAGAAGTACCAGAGGTATGCAATGTCACTATAAGTGGCCCTCGTGTCTATATAAATGGAAGTGTCAACCAAAAAAATGAAAATATGCCCTAAAGGCACGAGCCTTATATACCCCCACCTGCTCAGGATCACCATCATCCACCTCTGCAACAACGATCTCTTCATCATATATCTCTTTCAAGAACTCAAACCTAGCATGAGCACCCTTGATCCTATCCATCTCCACAATCGCCTTAACTAAATCATCCTTTAGATACTCCATCATCATCTCAATTGCCTCGTCTTTGGTCATCCTACCATGATCGAGGAATTTTCCTCTTATGGAAAGATGTAACAAACACGAGACATCATTAAGTGTGATAGACATCTCACCATGCGGGAGATGAAAAGAAGACGACTCATAATGTCATCTCTCCACGAATGCATTAAGCATCCAGTGGTTGATCAGAGTGTAACCAGTCATGCATAGGTCACTCAACCCATATAAGGTCAGAACCAACTAAAACCATTCCCCATCCGGACGAGGCAAGCTAACAATCTTCCTCTCATGGTTCAAAAACTTCTAAGGATCACGCACTTGTGATTTTCCATAAATAATCAATGTTATAAATAATAAATGTCATCAATTTAAATTAACGTAAAAAAATAAATCAAAAATCATACTAATGATACCTCTCTATCCCAGGTATATCTGTCAGTATGGTATGGATACAGAGGAAGTAGGGACATATCAGATGAACCTCCTCTGAATCCCTCTGGCTCAGCATCCTCAACAACCTCAACCTCTAAAAGTTATACTAGATCAGCAGGATCATTAGTGGGAGGTGGCACTAGATCAACAGGAGGTGGCACTGGTGCATTCTAGCGCCTGCAGGAGGATGGGGGAAGTGATGTAACAACCCAATTTTCAATAATTGATTAATTTTACTAATTAATTGGTTTATGTGATTTATTGGATTTATTTAATTTATATGAGTTAATGGATTTAGTTAATGGATTTAACTAATTTATTCTATTTGGTAGAATAATGTGGATTTACTAAATATTCCCTAATTAATGATAAGATGAGATATTTTGTGAGAAATGAATTGGTAGATATTTTGAGAAAAGAAATATTGAGGAGAAATAGAAGAGAAGGATATATAAGGGAAATTGGAGAGAAAAGGGAAAAGATATAAACACAAGAGAAAGAAAGAGGAAGAGAAGAAAAAGAGAAGGAAAAGAGG